TGGACCAATATCCAAACACCTTGAGTTGAAGAACTAAAATAATTTTAGTCAAAAAATTTAAAGTTGGTGGCTAATGCCTAACTCTAGGATTAAACAATAGAAAAATAAGATCCAACATTCATTAATCAAATGATCAAAATAACTGCAAATTTTGTAATTATAGCAACTAAAATATATAAGACCATGGCAAATGTGGATGAAAGAGTGCATGAATTATTTTCCAAATCCCTCAAGTAATGGAAATAAAAGTCCAAATGATCTAATAAACTTGAAATCTTTTCAACAAGTTTTATTATTTAATTAAGAAAACAACAATTTCAACATATAGATAGATATAGATTCCAAGATAGGAACTAAGAGCAAAACTAGAAGAAGGGTTTTCACTCCAACTACCAACGATGATATCACCCTCTTCAAAATCATGTTGATGTTGAATAATTAGCTAAAATACATATTAAAGATAAAAGATCTTATCCATGTAAAATCTACCACTACTAATTTAAAAGATGATGGAATTTCAAGAACCTTAAGTCAAATAATGTCTAATCTAAAACTAACTGAGAAAAGAGACAAAACAATAAAGAAATAATGTCTTACTGCATGGATAGTAAAAATATTAAAATGCCTAAAAGGATTTGATACTTGTTAGTTGGATGATATTATAATTAATATTTGATAAACTAGAATTAAAAAAAATATATTTAATAAATTGACTAGCAAAGTAATAATAAGATTTTATTAACAAATAATATAAAAAAAAAGATGTTGATTAATGGCGACTATTAAGATATGTTAGATTTCAAATAAGTATGAAGATGAAATCTCTCAAAGAGTAGAATAGTATTAATCTATATTTTTTAATAAAAATACACTTAATTTTTTTTATATCAAATTTAGATACTTAGTAATCTCTTATATGGGTTTGTATGTTAAAGTGATGAGACATAATTCTACCACATTGAATTGGGTAGTATGGCAAAGTTAAAACATGTGCATGGTTAAATGAGATGATTGATATTGTTGTGGCTATAGGCAATATAAAAACAATGTTTTGTGTGGTTTTAATAGATGAACTAACTACTCCTATAGCAAGTCAAGTTTAATATCTTGAGGTTGGATTAGAAGTTTCCATAGAAAAACACTGTCTTCGTTAAGATAGTGCAACCCAACTCATATTTGTCTTTAATTTGTTAACAACAACGTTTTATATTTGATAGGCAAGGTATTGCAAAGAGGTATATCTTTCTCAAAATTTGGGTTGTTTGAAACTTAGGCAGAGGATCTCAAACCTAAGTTAGTTGAAATAAAAAGAATTAGTAAAATCAGATTAAATTTTGGAATTCCACCTTTACTTCTAAAGGTCCATCAACAAGGATATTGACCCCATTTGAATTTTCTTTAGAAAAAAACATTGCTATTTGATTTCTAAAGTCAATCATTGTCATTGTGGCATTTAAAGGACTGCTGATAGAAATAGTGGTACCTGAAAATTATACCTCAGATTGTTCTCAATTGAATTCATGAATTTATTGCCTAAAATACACTGTTGTTGGAGTACCCAAATTGAAACCAGATGCATTGTGTGACCTGTTTGTAAAGAATGGAGCAAGCATGGCCCTCTCTATTGATAATTGTAAAAGTAATCTGAAATCTGTTGTACCTTCTTGTGGGATTTGGAAACGAAGATAGAAAAAGAATACAAGATTGTAAGACACAAAAATAAATTATACTTGAAGAGTGGTTTACTTGCTACCTTAATTTAGGACCAAGGTGACACAGATTATGATTATTTAAGCTCACTCCTCTAAACAAAACAAATGTAATATTAAATGTCTAAATATGTATATGTAGATTAGTTAGTGATGATGATTCTACAAACCAAATTTTATATTTGAGAGTTGGAACCAGAGAAAAGTAGGACTTGAAGAAAAGATTTATTGGTATTGGATTGTCTGAGCACATGTGTTTCAGAAAAATAGAAGTAAATAAGGAAGTATAAGGATCACCTCTAAAGTTTTGGTGACTTTGCTCATAGATTTTCAAGAGAACAAAGAAGGTTTCATTCTTAAGTTTTTCAATTAATTGTCAATGTGTCAAAGAAAAAGCTTGCCACAACATACTTTGACAGCTATAATTGTAAAATCTTATACAAGACCAAAAATTTGAAATAAGTAATTTGTTATAACAACTACATAATTTTTTGATAAAAATTCTAAAATAATCACCTCATTATTGGATTGATAATTTGGTCTCTTTTTAAAAGATAAGGCAAATTTTAATTGATTTTTTTTAAATATCTTCTCTTTTAGAATAAAGATTATTTTTACAAAATATATATATTTTTTAAGTTTTAAAAAGTCACATCAAAATAAAATGATTATTAAATACTAGAATTAACATCACATAAAAATAAGTTTATCATAAAGTCAAGATGTATGTAAACTTTTATTTGCATCACCAAAAACATTGTATTTTAATAATACTGTTAAAAAATAAATATAAATAAAATTTTAAACTTTTATTTCCAAAGTTTTAATAATACTATTTGAAGCATAAGAAAGTTACTGCTAATCTTTTATAATAGAGAACATATCTACTAAAAATAATTTCTACTGAAAATCTGTTAAGAAGTAAAATCTTATGTACTAAAGTATAAAAGAATTTTCCTCACTATAATTTTGATTATAAGAAATAAAAAATTAACAATACAAGGGGAAAAAAAAAGTAAAAGACTAAGAAGTACAAGACTAAGAAGTACAATAGAAGAAAAATTGAAATAAGATTGAATAATAATTAAACTACTCCAAAACTTGTGTTGGAAAAACTAAGATTTTTCTTGACTTGTCCTTTTTCTTAAGGACCTACCAAAGTTCTAAAGATATTCTAGGAATCATGAAATATTCTAGAAGTTCAGAAAATTCTTTTATAGAGATATGTAGAAAATTATATCACAATCCTTTACTCTTTGTCTCTGAATTTGAGTGTCTGTCTGAGTGCACTGAGTGCAGAAGGACCTCAGTTGTTTCTACCTCATCAATTGCACAAGCTGAAAAGTGTGTCATAAATTGCACTTTGATTGACAATTTTGTCAAGCATGAGAATTGGCAACTGTTTTTGTTGCCAATGGTTTATTTATTTTTATTTATTTTTGTATTTATTACTTTTCCTCAAATGTTTTTTTATTGGGTGAGGGAATACTCTCCTTGGGTCTTGTCTGACAGTATGCCACTCTGAACAAAGAGAGAGCGAGCAACTCCAAAACTGAGACAAGGGACCTGGTCAAAGGGAAGGGGGCCCATGCTTGGTGGGGAGGGAGATGTGAGAGGAAGATGAAACTGGGAGATGAAGATGGTGAAGATGGAGCAGCACTTTGGAGCCATGGGAGTCATCCTCAGCTGTGACCCCACATGGGGCCCAATTGGGATGCAAATGGGGGAAGAAAGAAACACAGATCCTACCCCCCCACATGTAGAGATTTTCTGTGCGTCCCCTGCCTGCCTGCCTGCCTGCCTGCCTGTCTGTCTGTCTCTGATCTGATTTTGCTTCTAGAGTATTTTTCCATTCCATCCAATAATACTGTATCTCTTAATAACACTGCTGCTATTACTAATAACAATAATAGTAGAAGCAGAAGAAGTAGAAGAAGGGAAAATATACACAGCCTTGGAAGCCACCCCACACACAAACTCCATCTTTGCTCTTTGCCCCACATGTACATGACAGCCTATGATCTCATAAGAGCTTACACAGCAATGTCCTGCCTACACAGTATGTGTGAGTCACCACCACCTCCACCATCACCACTGGGCTCTCTTTTTGTGTAGATGGCAGTGCAACAAACTTCCCACAGTGCATGCATCATCTCAGCCTTTTCTCTAATCTAACACACAATTGCCTATGTCTTTGGCTTCTTTTTATTTTTGAAATTTTTGGTACAGTTGTACATGTACATGATGGCACACTTTGGTGAGAGTTTCAGTAAAAATGATTTGGTCCCATGCTCATCAACTAGGAAAAATCTGTTCTAGGGTTCTTAATGGTGTGTATGTGCTCATTTGTACATGTATATATAAAAATGGATATATATATATATATATATATATATCTCTGTGAAGTTTGGATTGGAGATACCATTCCTGAGACAATTTAATGCAAGATAACAACAGCTGCTACTGTGTATACTGTTGTCTGCACAGCCTCCTTTTCCTACAAGATTGAACCAAAATTTCAATTTTGATTATGTAATTCTAGAACAAAAATTGGTAGTTTCGAACTTCACTTTGACCACTAATTGGTATCAAGTGCACAGAGATGGTGGCCTGTACTTGAAAAAATAGTCTCTGCAGTGATCCACTTAAAAATTCAACTACAATTGACTAAGAAGAGGGAGAATAACACGAAAGAAAGAAAGAAAGAATATATATATATATATATATATATATATATAAAACATGCATACATTTGTTAAAGAGAAAAGTTTGGCAAAGTCTTAAAATGGCTCCTTCAGTTCACAAACTTAAAGAGGGAAATTTGTGACCTTGCGCAAGAGGTAGTTCTCTTTTCATGTCAGTAAGGGGAAAATGCAACCATCCCCTGAGAAATACTAAGAAGCACCTGAAGTTGAAAGCTCTAAATCGCACTAATTACCATCATTCAAATCTTCATCCAGACTCTTGGTTTAAAAAGGAACTCCCATGCTCTACCCCATGATGCCCTGAGAAAATATAGGAGACGATACTGAGCTCAAGTAGTCCTCTAGTTTTCCAGTGGACAAGCAACATAACCAGTCATTGCTACCAAGGAGCTTGCACTTGCCACAACAGAAACATTACTCTCCACAAATGAACTCTGGCATTACTAAGAATGTGATTGACATATTTGACAACAGAAATAAGTCACCATTGCTCCATGTGGACAAGAAAATAAGACATACCCTTGAGGAAAACCATTACGTACAAATTAAACCCAAACAGGACTCAACAGAACAGCCAGGGCAGGAATTACAGCAATCAAAGCACTATAGTCAGTCTCTTCATTGACTTAAATATTATGCACATCTAGAACCACATTCAATAGTATGTGCTGTTGTACATGTGTTTTCAGAAATTAGGTCAGGACCTCAGTCATTACTAAATTTAAATATTTCATTTTTCTTCTCGTCCAGGAACTATCATTTTCAGAGGACAATGTAGATGACGCAGGAACAGCTGATGGCAGAGTAGCTCTCTTCTGTAAACCTGCTATGCAAAATTCCACACAACGTCATCAGGAAAATAGCTCCAGTATTGTTCACCATGATATCCATATATTTATGACATCATTGATGCAACGGAAATCTTCATGTTAAGCCAATTCGTTTTTAAGGTTGTACTGCACTGATTCAACACATGAGTTCGCCTTTCAGAACAGACATAACATACAACCTATACTGTTCAAGCTCCTTCAAGACTGTTTCGTATCTAATCGCCACCTTCTTAGTTGGCCAGTACTTGGGAGCTCCTGCAAGGCTGGCTTCATTTAAGCATTGCAAATCCTTAATAATTGGAATCTGAACTATTCTCAGTACAAGGGGGATGAGGACCATAGTAAAAAAAAGGTTTAAACATAGTAAAATTTATCCATTATGCAGTGAATAGCGCTGAGTGAAACTACCTCTCTAACTAGTCTGTAGTTTCAGAAAGTGATCTCTCAGTGTCACAAGTCTTCGTTTATTGTCTCTGAGATAGGTTGCAGATAATAGATAGAACAAGCTGAATTTTATCTGTAGCTCAATTACAATGCACGTCCAAAATACGAAGGCATTACGGGGCAAATCGAACAGTGCTTACAAGATTGTAGGTGATGAAAATACCGATCAAGTAGCGGCGGGGGTCTCGTTTTGAAGAAACGGATTTGGTATCTCCTCAGTACCATCTGTTGGGGCAACCAACATGACAGCAGTTCCTCTGCAGACCTGCCACACACAAGTACGTGTCAGGACTGCCAACATGTATATTTTCGAAGCCTGGAAAGGTTAGACATGACTTTTGGTCCAACACGATCGCCCACAACGGATATCTGCTAGTAGCAGCCCAAGCCTCAAAAGATTAGACTCCAGTAGAGCATGGATAGGAACTTACAATCAAGCCCAATTGTCTTATTTGGTCCGTGGTCTTCATAGGATCGTCCGAGTCTGAGAGCAAATGAAAAGCCCGATCAGGCTACAGTCAAAGGAGCATCCGAACCCTCTCCAGTTTACATATTACGCTAAATTATATTGCAAGCGAGAGAGAATGACAGCACTCTCTGGATTTAATAAGAATCCACACAAAGCAATTGCTCAGGGGATTACGACAGATTTAATACCGATGAGGGAACATAATCAATAATTAAATTGCGCGAATAGGTGATGTATTATGGAGAGTAAACAAAACTTCATTGAAAAACTAAATGTATTATGAAAAGGTATCCTGGGTTAGTAATCAAACAAAGAGAACACCTGACCTCTCAAGTTTTCCGTGGCCTCGTCAAGCACCAAATTCAAAAGTTGGTCATATCCTTTCAAAATTCCTGTCACTGCAAGCGCAATCCAATATAATAAAATGTTATGACTTGATCTGCTCACTGCCGAACTGGATAAAAAGAACAGACTACCAAGATTTGGTTGGCGCTAGCTGACACGTGCTCTAATACTCACTTTTCCGCTCAATCACTCTCAATCAAGCAGAGGTAAGTGACTCTAATTTTATATAAACCCTAAAATATTGCAGACTAATGAAGTAATCAAAAACTGGCATTAAGTAGGATTAACAAACCACACTGCTCGAAAACTGCTTGTGCGAGCTACCAGTACGCAAAGAGCATCAATAATAACCCCCAAATACTATGAGCATGCCATTAACACGCCCTCTGATAAGCTTGACTATTAACGAGAAAATCAAAAGCGTGGAGCTGCGTAATCACTGCTCACCTTGTCGACCACCACTCAGCTTCACCGACACTCCCCTATCCACAAACTTGGCCAGATCCAGCACAGTCTCTTTCCTTCCTGACTAAGACAACCTCACAAGTCCAATCAATCTAAACGTCAATGCTCGAAACTAACAAGACATGTTACAGTTATACTCAACCCTTTCCCAAGAACCCACATCAATCCCGCATGATCATCGCACACAAACGACAAATTTAACAATATCCTACATTAAGATTGCACAGAGTTTAGCTCAACCTGCTTCCTCACACACCGAATTAGGGTTCCTACGAGAAACAGTAGGCAACTATACCCTACACAAATTGTAACTCAGAAATACCCAATTGCAACGATCCTGTACCATATTGATAAAAACGGAAGATGCAGCGCAGTCAAGCAACAGAGGCCAAGACGACACTTTAATGCAAAGCTGCAACTGAAGTTCATCAGGTATCTCCAATACCGGACCAAATCGGATTACGCGGAATATTTCAGCGTCGCCGGATGATGAACGAATGAGAAAACGACGACTGAGAAATTCGTTTGTTTCCACTGACACAGCAGTCATGGACTCTTTATCCGGTCGGCCTCAACCCGAGATGGAAACGCTCAGTAAACTCCTCTCCGGCAAACCCACAAGCCAATGCATCCAATTCTCAAACACAGATACGGCGACGTGTCTGAGCGATGTCGGGGACACTTTGTCTGAGCGTCTGATGACGTGGGACACGTGTATGAGAGACGTTCGTGGGTTTCCGCTTTGCAGATTAATCCATTCTGCAACATTGTGACATAGAATTTCTCGCATGAGCATAGCCTAGAATTATATTCTTGTGCTGAATTCAACCAGTGTGTTGAAGAATGAAGCTCCTGATTCATCGATGGTTTCTTTCGTCAGCCGACTTCGGATTGAAGTAATGTTTATCCATGGCACGATTAATTGCATTGTTTAGATTTTCAAACCGATCGATGGCTAAACTGGTTCGATGAGTTGACATTCGTTGAGGCGAAATCACTGGGTGGCGAAGGTGCTGACCGATGTTACCGACAAGGGTGAGAAGTCAACCTGTTGACTTTGAGTATTGGTAGGTTTGGAGGTCCAGGTGTCAATGTTTGTGTGGTGGACAAATAGTTGAGATCAAATATTTCCATGGTCATGGCCCTTGTCAACAACACACCAAGTGAGACATAATGTGTCCATCATATTTAACATATTCATCAATATTCATCAATATCCATCAATAGATAACATCATATTTATTAATGATTGTGATATTCTTACTAAATTTTTATTTGATGTTTAAAATTTATTTAAGGAAAAAATTGGCATTTCACAATAGATTTTACTGCCATAATTATGTGAAATGCATGTATACATATTTAAAAAATCAAAATTAATGTTTGATTTGAAGATATTCATGAAAATAAGCAATGAATGATTTTCTAGATTTTATTTTTATTTTTTTATATTTCTATATATATATATATATAAGATTAATGGTCTTGAAAACAATAAAATGCCACTTATTCTTAGATATATAGGATACATGTTTTTCTATTGAAATATATATATATATATATATATAATTTTAAATTAATAAAAAATTAATAGATATACTCATTAAAATAATTTATGTATATTATTTTAAAACTTCTTATATTATTAGTTATTTTATAAAATTATTCAAAGATGTAATATTAAAAAATTAGAATATTATTTATAATTTATCTAATGTTAAATAAAACTTTGAAATTAATATTGAAACAAATGATACTTCTAAAAATATTTTATAATAATTTATCTTTATAACATGGTAATTTCCATTCAAAATATCAAATTTAAAAAATTTAGATAAGATATATATTTAAACAACTTAAAAATATTAGTCTTAATCATTTTATAATTACAAATAAATTATAAGATTAATAATAAATTTAATGAATAAAAAATAAATAGTTAAATATTTAAATATTTATTTATTTTATTATTATTTTTTTTTATCATTATAATTTTCATAAAATTAAAAGATAAACATAGATAAATATAATTAATAGAATTATCATTGTCATTACTAAAGAATTATTATATCAACCTAAATTTTTATCAAATTGATGTAGCTTAATGACTTAATAGATGATACAATTATTTTTGTAAAACCTAGTTGCCAAACCACCTACTCTTTTGCTAAAACATTTTTATTTTGTAGAACCTGATTGTCAAACCATCTATCCACTTTTTTACTAAATTGACCTAATTTTTAAATAATCTATTATTGTACTATAAATTAATATGGTTTTTAATATTTAACTTAAAACTATAATATAATAAGAATTTTAAACATATATTGAATTAATTAAATGAAATATTTAAAAAGAAATTTGATTTTATTTGTTGTATAGAAAAAAAGTCTTTAAATTCCATAAATACTTGGCAATAATTTGATTGGTTGGATTTTTAGAATATATCTAGTAGTTAGAGGCTTGAATTAGGATAAAATTTGGTAGATAAATTTTTGATAAGTTAAAAAAATAAGTATGTAAATTTAAAATATAAAAAAAATGCTTAGATTGGCAGTAAAATGGTTTCAAAATATAGAAGATTAGACTGTATTGATATATATTTTTTTAAGTTTGGTATATCAAAGTGGTGAATCGCACCCATAATGTACTAAATTGAAGTCTACCATTATTATGGTATAGTTAGAGGAACTATATTCTTTAAAATCCTTACTTTATATATTAAAGATGATTAGAAGACTAGTTCCACAATGCTTACATTAAAAGATTATGTTGACCGACTTATCACATGTAGACAAGTATAAAGCATCTTTGTTAATTGTAGTATAATGTACAATACCTATGTCTTTTATATATTCATTTTCTTGATAGATTAAAATTTATCTTTTTATAATAGGAAGGAGGTACAATTCAATAGTGATTATAGTATAATAACATCAATTCTTCAAGAATCCTCTTAATGTATATTTTTTATGATTGAAAGTTTATATTTTAGAATTTATGCTTTAGAATTTAAGATTTTGAAAAAAATTATAATTAAAAAGAAGAGACTCGTTCTTAATTAATTTTATTTTAATTTACTATAGAATTTGTTTTTAGAAAATAATAGATGAAATTAAAAAATATATAGAAGTAAAGGATAATAATTTAAATATTTTATTTTTAAAATAAAATCTTTGATTTATCAAGTTTTATATAAAATATGGAGTAACTTTATTTTATTTGGATTTAAAAAAAAAAAAGTTGTAGTAGAAAGAGGCCTAATGCCTTCTTGAAGCAAGATTCTTTAATCATAATACCACATGACCTTCATGGTATTTAGCACAACACTAAAATAGTTGAAGTGGATTTTATCTTATAATGTTTTTGAACACCATCTAAATTCTAAAATGCTAATATTTAAGGTATAAAGTGCTTTAATACTTATTGTGTGCATTGACATATAGATTGTATCAAGGACACGAAGCTCAAAGAAAGAAATCCTCAATACACTCTTGTCTCTTAATAGAACTAGAAAGTCACTCAAAGATGATATAGTATTAAACTAAAATGGCTATTGTCATACATATAAAGACTAGAAAGTCTTGGAATAAGACTAAACACAATGAAGGTAGTGCCAAGAATGAAGAAGGCTTTATTCTTGCCTCTATATATACTCTTAACTTAGATCTAGGTAGCAATATCCTATAGGACCTTGTTATTCTCGTTGCATTCAAGCTTCAGTAGACCAAAGCAATTGAACTAATAGAGGTGGATTCAAACATGGGAAAAGACTAGTTATATGAATTGGATCTGTCACAATTGACTATATTCTAGCTATCTGAAATCAAGTATCAAACTACAAAACACCGAGGCTTACTACTTCCATCTTAATTCAACCCATAATTCATTCTATGATTATCAATTCAACAATACTTCTCTCAATCACCATTCTTCATAAGCAAATAATAAAGAAAACAAAGAGGTAGCAGCAAGCTTACCTCGGCTTACGACTCTCAGTCTGGCTCTCGACTTATGACTCTCAACGTATTTATCCTACCAAAAAGATGATCCATCGGCCAACGGATTCCAAAGGTTATGACCCTTTGAATTCTTAACCATTTATTCTACTAACAACCTACTGTTACCAACTAAACTGCCTAATCATCACTCTAATTCTCAAGGTTGTCAATAACCAACCAGTAACTTATCACAAAGTTTATTTATCTATTCTACATAGCCCCACTTCTAATTGTGCAGCGTCCTCGCAAATATTATTTAGCCTCAACTTATAAAGACGTAGCAGCATTGGCTTCTTTACTCAATGGCATTGGCTTACTACCCTTTGAATTGGTGACCTTCTCCTCTACTACATCTTTGTCGTCTGCCTCAATATTTGAGGGTTCTCCATCCAAATGCGCCATCACATCTTCATTCAACAAACCCAATTCCCACACTTGAGACTCACGTCGGGCAATTTGGTTGTCATGCTTCTCCAACAACTTTCACCATTCTTCTTTCCCTTTCAAAGGTATCTCCGAAGGTATTGTTGCTAAAAATGGCATATTGATCTGCACTAAATTATTGGCCTCCTTTACTAACACGGCTAGTTTAGTCTGTAATATCGCAACCTCTATCTACAGTTGCTTTTGCCATTCTTTCCAATCAGTCTCCATCCTTACTTTCTCAAACACCATATTTTCCATCTTTTTCTTAACCACAAAAGAAAACATGATGCTTGTCAAGAGCCCCCCTCCTACTTCTTACTATGGTCCAATCAATTTGGTCGACTCTCTCTTTTGTAACAGAAAATTCGTCCCGAGTTTATGTAAAGTAAAGTTTAAACCGATTGCCATTTATCCGTGTCATAAATTTAGTATCCACAAAATCTTCCAATTGTACTGAACTATTTGAAAATCTGTCAATAACTCAATATGGTCCATGCCATCAAACTTGAAATTTTCTCAAAATTTTTTTAAATCGACTATCATAAAGAAGTACCAAATCATTTGGCATAAAAGCCTTTGGTCTAAACTTACTTTCATAATTAGTCTTCCTTTGTTTTTGTATAGTTTCCATTATCATTAATGCATTGGCTCTTGTTTCATCCAATTTTTTCAATTCTTCTAAACGGTGCCATAATGAATCCTGATCTCTCAATCTATTATCTATAGTAATTCGTAAACTTTGGACTTCCAATTCAATAGGTAATATTACTTCCTAGCCATAAACCAATTAGAAAAGGGTAGCATTGGTAGTAACTTTATACGTAGTACGCTAGGCCCATAAAGTTGCAAACAACTTAGTGTCCCAATCTGTTCCCGCTCCTGTTTTTGTTAAGATTTTACATAAAATTTCATTAGTCTTTTCTGTTTGTCCATTAGCTCTAGAGTGATATAGTGTAGTCTTCCGATGTTTTATCTCGTATTCAGCCGTGAGTGCTTTGATTGTACTATGATAAAATGAGTTCTCCGATCACTAACCAATTTTCATGGACAACCGAACCGTGTAATAATATTTTCATACAAAAAGATTTCTACTATACTTGTACTATCAGTTTTCATAGCTACTACTTCAGCCCATTTTGTTACGTAATTCGTTGCTACCAGTATATACCGTTTTTGTCCATTTCTCGAGGTTAGTGCAATTGG